TGATCTAAATAAATTTTAATGGCTAATCCATACCTAGTTGTTGTTGAACCAGTAATTTTCTTCAGGTTGAATAGTTGTCTTTCCTTTCCTTGTGTTTATTCCTATGTTACATTTTCAAAGAGTAATCATTTCCCTGCCAACTTTCACTGTATTAATATTTTTCTTTTCTTTTTGTCCCCATTCATATGGGGGCTTTCCTGTTCTCCAGATAGTATTATCAGTCCTTCTAGGCATACATTGGCTTTATCAATCGCATTGTCTCTGTGCTGTTCATGTTTTACTGTTTCCCCCTGGGGAATTTCTCTAGGAAATCCTAGAGTTACAGGCATGTGTCCGATGTTCCGTAATTGGTTGGTGTGCTTGAGTCCTCAGACGTAGCTACTTCCTATGCATGAACTCCTACCCTATGTGAGGCAGAAATTCTTCAGAGTTCCCGATGTATTTCGTGCCGTTATATCTAATTCCATGTCTGTTACTTCAGTTCTTCATGTGATCCAAATCTTCCTGCATAAATACAGCTTGGCTGAACTGACAATTCATGTTTGTCAGCAAGGTTTATCAAAGTCTTACTTTTCGTGCTTAGTTCATTAATGAAACGGGTAAGCATTCTTGAATCAAGCTGATTCAAGGTCCTTGAAAGCCATTTGAACTACCCTAGTAATCTCTGTTCTTGAAACTACTTGTCGTCTGCCCTGTAGTGAATTCTTTACTGTTCTTACAATCCCTCTTTTCTTCATCCAAATTAATAATTTTCTTTGTGGCATCGTATCAGGTTTTTTTTTTTAAGCTCTAATAGAAAAGTTGTTGTTGGATACTGGCTTAGACTGACAGTCCAATTTATCGCTGGCATTCTGTTCCACCTCGAAGTTGTGTTCAAAACTGTACATGTGATTGAGGTGTTATGCTTACCGTTACCGAAGTCACTTCTTGTCCCCGTAATACACATAGGAGAAATGTTTAATACTTTTCAGTTTTTCTTTGGAAAATACGTTTACTTGGTACTGTATGTACTACTGCAAATGCTTTGAAACGTCTGTTGAAAAGGTTTTAATGTTCTAATTCTTGTGAAGTCAGAGATTGATGTTTCTTTTTTTTTATGTGTTCCCCCTTTACAATACTGTCTTTGTTGTTACGTTCAGCGCTATCATTCTTTATTGAAATTTGGGACAGTGCAGCACATTTGGTTTGGGGATCATGCTGTTAAAAGTATTACACAGCCACATCTAAAGAACAGTTAGCACTGAACTCCCTACTTTCGGAATCATTTTGGACCATATGACATATCTTGCATGCTTTAGCTTCATATATTCGGAGTCATATGGTGTGTAGGGCTAGACTGCCGTGATAGTCCCATGAATTCACAGCTGAGCTTCAGTTCAGAAAAAAACCCACACAGTTTTAATAACAAAGGGATTTTTTCTATGAACTATTTTTAGGAAGGATAATAAATTACACTGTAGACAAATCGGGTGTTACGATTGATGAAAACATTACTCTTTAGTGGATTATAGTTGAACGCTTCTTCATGGCTACAATAGGGAAAAAAGAGAGATTGAGGACTGTGAAATCAAGGGATTGGCTTATGGGTTTGAATTTCTTCAGCATCACTCTGTCGGCGGAGGAGCATTCCAGGTGTTAATTGGTGCTTTAACACATTCGAAGCAGTCATCGTTAATACAGGCAGGTTTTGGAGAAATTCCAGCTGTGGCTCACTTGAGATTGTGTGCCTTAGCAGGGCTGCCAGCCTTCCTCTTTAACGGGAATCCAGAAAGGGCTCAGAAAAGGTGTCACTGCGGCCTCTTCAGTTTTGTCAAATGTAACTTTGGTTGCTGCGGTTTGTTTGGGTTTTGGTGAAAGTTATTCTCATACGAAGGTCGTAACTAACGTCATTTTGGGCTGTGGCATTTGTTAGAAGTGCTAGAACAACTAGTCTGTTTTTAAAAACTTTTTTTTTTAAAGCTATTAAAGTACATAGCTATATTGGAGTGCCAGGTGATTTTAAGAACAAAATGTTTACAAACACTTTCCCTTTCTGCCAATAGTGCAACATAGGCTGTTAAGAGACCTGATTGCCTTAGTTTGTTTAGCTCAGAAACTTACCTAACGAAAAGGAAGAACAGTTCAAAGGATGGGTAGAAAATCCCCAAAATCTCTTCTGATAGCTGTAGCAGGAAAGCTCTGCTGAATTTTACTGTGGCGACTGAAAAAACTGCCTCAACCCATCCACGTCACGTTTTTGACACAGCTTTGTTGCCTCTCTAATATGGGCGGTAGAATAGGACGTGTGTCCGCACTGCAGTTCACGTAGTTCATACTGGGACATTTTATGGTGAATCGCTGGGTTTTGGTCAGTGGCTTAAGGTCACCTGCCCAAGGTTGCCGTCAGCGCTGTGGGTGCAGCGAGGTGGCCTGGCAGCCACCTGCGGGGCTCTCCTGGCGGAGGGCGAACTTGACCCTGGCAGTAGCAGAAACAGAGCGGTAACTCAAGAAATAGTATTGAGGTGTCATATGTGCATTTTGTGGGGACAGAGGGGAATTGCAGCCCTGCTGGGTTTTTACTTTCCATTTTTGAGGTATTCTTTTAAGTGCTGATAAGCATTCTCAAATTAGAGTGATTTTAAAATGAGGAATTGCAGCAGATTTTGTTCTCGGTGTCATTTTATTACACGTTGTTATACACATTTTAATACATATTTACATTTTAATACATACATATCTGTGAAAAGTGAAATAAAGGAAGATTCAGGTACAAAATACTGGTTCTAAGTGGAGAGCGTTGTACTCTCGAATAGGCTTGGACAACGTTTTTGAAAACTACCTTAGATTGTCTCGCTGAACAAAAATCACCATGAAATTGGAAGTGAGTTGCATTAAGATGTTCTTTTTTTTTTCCTCCCATTTCTTCTTGATGTTTTTGATAACATACTCTGTAGCACAGTGGTAAATACACGCTGCACGTTAAGTTCCCGTGCCCGTGAACTGGGGCGTGAGATCACCAATCTTCTGAAAGCTTAAAACACTCCTACTCTTGAAATGTGGAAGAGTGAGAATACATAATCCTTACCGAAACTTGCGTGGAGAAGACAGACGGAAAGGATTTTTAAATATACTTTAAGCAGACTACTAGTGGGGTTTTTTTTTCCTTGATGGACTGCAAAAATAATACTGTAAATGAAGCCTTTGTTGTTTTACTACATACAAGCTGTTGGCAGTTTTAGCCTTCCACGTGTTTTATTGAGGACTGAAGTTCATTGCAGCTGAAACATAGAATAAGGGAATGATACTTCCAGACTTAGGTCGCTGGCCTGATGGTTTTATAGCTAGAAGGACGTTCCCTGTCAGCTCTCAGAATGGGTCCTGGTGCTTGCCATTAGGAAACACTGAAGAGAGTGAATATTTTTGTTACTGAGGCTTATTTTGAAGTTCCCAGCACTTCGGACGTCCGCAGAGCTTGTCGTTCCCAGTCCATCCCGCCATAACCGGGCAGCAATCTTGGGGCAAACGCTGGGGGAGCATCACCCGCGGGCGGGAGGTGCCGGGCCCGGAGCTCGCCCCGGGTTCCCTCTGGTGCTTCTCCGTCGCCTCGTTGGGGACAAGTCAGAGACGTGTGAAAAGTAGGCCAGGGGTCGGGGGCGGCCCGACCCGGCTTGGCCGCTAATTTGCCTCCATGTTAAATGCCTCCGAAGCCCTAATTAAAATGAAAAGTTCTTGGGTCTCGCCGACAGACAGATTGAGTTATTGGCGATGGAAGCGGCCACCAACAGTAATTGCAGCCCGTCCCTGAGCAAACGCCAGTTTTGGCATTCATTAGCAGCGCCAGGCTGACAGGGGTCAGTGGGGTCAAGCCCACCGAAACAAGAGGCCGAGGAAAGGCAAAATCAGTCCTCTGTTGGGCTTTGTGCGATGTCGCTTTTGTTGCGATTAACTGTTTAGGTGTTCGAGCTGCTTTTTAGCCCCTTGAGGCCCAATTAGGCTTCCCTTGTGAATCGCTGTAGAAAGTTTGCTAAGCAGGACGTGACCACAGCTACCACGCTCTGAAGAAGGAACTCCTTACTCAGTTTGGCACTCTTAGCGATGCGTTCATCCACTGGATGAGTAGAGTTGTATTTTACTTTCGGAGCAAATGGCGTGTGCATATAGTAGCGTAATTTTTTCAGGAGGGATTAATTTGCACAAAGCTTGGAAATCCAGAAGGGGTTATCGGGATTTTGAATTGGAGTTAACAGAGATTAATAACAAGTGTTCATTGGTGTTGTGAACTGAGCTAACTTTCTTTTCTCCAGCAAACACTGCACCACGTAGTAGTCTACAGGAAGGGGAGCTGGAATATAGCTGATGCTAAGTGAGAAATTAATTTCTTCTTTCAAATGTTAAATGAGATTGCACTTGTTTTTTTAAAGATGTAGTACTATTCTAGAAGACGAAAGTAACCTTGTCAGTAAAATTAGGTAACAAAACTATTTTCATACAAATTCAGCTTTCATCCAGCAGAGAGGCTGATGGTTTATTGCCATAAAGCTTCTCTGCAAGCATTTTTCGACTGGTGGCTCAACATGGTGTTGCTTTTTCCCCTGCATTATTATGGGAAGTCACCGAGTTTCGTTTTTAAGAAAAATAATAAGCGTAAGTTTTAATTTCTGTGAAGAAAATCGTTTTCAAACAGATTTACATGTCAATCTATTGAATATTACCTGTGATAGCTGTATGTGAGTCTAAAATATATGGCTGTGACTAGTGAGTTAACATACTTAATATTTTTGATAGGAATGTTAAAACATTCCTCTGTGTTGTTACCAAAAATGTGTATTTCAGAAGAACCCTGCTGTTCAGTTGGATAGTAAATATGGCTAATATTTTCAGTTATTAATCTTAATAAGCATATGCATTTTTAATTATTTTTTGCAGCCACATGGGTATGATCAGCGTGATTAGAAATTGTGTGTTTTCTTGTTTCAGAATGCAAGGAGTTTCTTAACACTTTTTTTTACTGTATCTTTCAGGAAACAAAGTTGGAAAAGTTACAAAATCATCTTTTTAGTCAAGCACCAAACCTTGTATTAGGCTTCACAGAGCAGACTAAGCTTAACCTCTGCCAAGCAGAAGGGCCAGCTGCTTTGCACAGGAAGGATTAAAAGCGAACAATGACTCGACAGAGAGTGTATGAGCGATTGCTTGGAGCCTACCTGCTTATCATTCTCCACGTTCAAGGTAAATACGTACTAGTTGAAATAAGTTTATATTTTTCATCTGTAACTTGAGAGATGTGTGTATTCCAGTGATTGGGGTAGGGTTTTTTTGATTTGGGTTTTGGTTTTTGTTCTTTTGCAGGCAGGTGGCTTATCTGCCTGACGTTCCATATAGACACTTCCCTAAAAAGGAGGACATTACAGTGGTCATGTGCTGTTGTAGCATAGATTATAGATTAGGTGTATTTTAGCAAATGCTTAAAAAGAGACAATACCAGAAATGCATAGTACGCTGTGGAGCAAGTTATATGAGCAGCAGAATTGAAGGTCTGACTTTCTGAATTTCAGTTTCCTATATGTGTGTGTCTTTGATCCCTTTGAACTTGACCCACAGAAGAAATGCAGTGCGCAGTTCCCTGTGCCTTCTGATGCTCCCAGCAGCCAAGAGATAGTGTGGCATAACTAATCTAAATAAACTCGTTATGCCTACTCGATGGGCCAAGGTGAGGCGATGTGATGTTCACAATAGCCTGGTTTTCAGTTAGTGGAAATACTCGTTTGTATGTCTGTTGTCTTTCCAGCCACCTGTTCTCAAAAACTTCTCAAAATCCAATTATCATTAGGACTTTTACTCCTCTGTCAAAGTGGATTGAATTAAAAAGTATTGGGAACCAACCAATGTGAGTGTCTCATGCTCTGTCAGGAATTGAAGCTTAAGTATAAAGATTATAACTAGTTTGGAGGAAAATCCATTTTATTATTATTTCCTTACTCCTTATTAGCAACTGTACCTGCCAGACCTGGTTCTGAAATCGCTTGTAGTTCAGAGAGGTGTCAGAACAGCAGAATGGTATCTGAGCTGCTAGTGGTACCACATTCTCATGTTTGGGACATGAACAGAAGTGCTCTGCATGCCCATCAAGCACGTACATCCATAGCTGGTCTCTGTATAAGATTTCCTGTTCTCCCAGCTGTGCACCTCTGGAAGGTTTGAGTTGAGCACACGGAGCTTTCCATGTGGTTCGAGGGAAGGAGACAAGACTAATTTGGTACTGCTGTTTTAGTACTTGTATATAAAAGGGTTTATTTTCTCTTTTCATACTTACATCAATTACTACTTAGTGCTTGATTTTATTTTGAGATATTCTTTGAGCAATTTACTTTGAAGAATAACAATTCAATGAACCCATTAAAATGGAGAGAGGAGGAGGCCTGATAAGTACCCAAACGACAATCTTTATGTTCTGTTTCTGGTGTGTACCTGCAATATTTGATTAAAGGATTTAGCAGAGCTGTCTCTATCGGGACTGTGCTTGATACATAGCTTGACAGCTGATTTTAAGAGCAGACTTGCATCAAATGTGTAATGGACCTGCCCCTTCCAAGCCACTGGATCTTGCCTCTTCCCATGTGCTGGCATTTATCCTTCTGTAGCCAAGTGCCAAGGTTTTTTGGGAACTGCCGCAGCTTATAACCTGGGTAGGGGGATGCGCTTAGACAGAGCACAAGGCTGTACCCTTAAACGTAACCCAGACCTTTACTAAGCAGCAAATACAAATGACGCTGAAGATATTTACCTGGATTTGGCCAGGGATGAGCTGTCAACTACACTAAGACCCGAATTAAATGAAGGGTGCCTCAGTGCAAGGAGGATCATCTTTAAGCTCTTTCAAGTACCGTCCCACACATACATTCACAGCTAAGCTTTTACAGGACAGAAATCCTCTCTCTGGATCTGTGCAGAATTGCAGTGTGTTAAAGATGTTTAAAACTGCCATTCTTCCTTTCGAGTTCCCTGTGGCGTTCAGTCCAGGAGGCTACCATGAGCACACTGAAGCTTCCCGTATGGTTGTGTGCAGCCTACAGAATTGTAAACACTTTTCTTCCAACACTGGACAAGTGTTCCAGTATAATAGCCAAGTTATTTGAGTACTTTCATCTTTTTAGCCTGTGGGGACTTAGAATAGTGTCTCCTAACTTCTAGGTATGTGCTTTAAGCGCTGATGTTTGGCTTAATTCACTCTGTGTGTGTGTAGGCGGGCACACACATATTTTAGGAGTGAAGAAGAGCATGGGTCTTGGTTTGAAGCTTTGCCATTGCAGCAAAGATTTCAAGGTTGAAAGCAACAAAACAAACATAAATCCAGGATTCTTCCATGTTCATTACATTGGTTAAGTTGGGAGAGGGAAATTCTCAAGACCAGTCCCTCTTCCTCTTGTGGACATACAATTCTTAATTGGCAAGAATTAGCTCGATCTGTTTGGGCAGAAGTAGCCTGTGTTGGGTGTAACTGAAGTTTATAGTACGAATTTATAACTATTTTGGGTAGCACTGAGGTGATTAGATTGGTAATGGACACAAATCTCAATAAAGGAAATTCTGGTGAGAAATTAGGAAAGAAATGTTCATTGTGAATGTGGTTAAGCATTAGAACAGGCTGCCTGGAGAGGTGGCGCAATATCCATTAGTCCAAACTTGACGAGAATGACTTTGAACAATCTGGTCTAACTTAGAAGTTGGTCCTGCTTTGACCAGGTGGTGGTACCAGGTGACTTCTAGAGGTCTCTTCCACTCTAAAATACTCTCGGACACAGCTATTTGCAGTGGAGCTTGTTCTGCCAGTGTTCAAGCAGTTTTACTGTTTCTTGCAGAAGATAACAGCTTCTTCCCTTGAAGAAGTTGGGAGTGATATGCTTTGTTCTTTGTACTGAAATCCTGGTTACCCCTCTGTGTTCATGTTCAGCATTTTACTCAAAGGCAATAGCAACTCAAGGAACAATTTTTTTTCCCTCTAGATACAAATAATAATACAGATAGACAGGTCTTCTAGTGACTTAAAACTAAATTGCTTTAACTCCTTCCATGAACACATTTGTTAATAACGCTTCAGTAAATAACTTCTAATAAATATGATACCTAAATGAAATTTAAAGACCTTGTAAATTTTTTTTCAGCTTGTGAAAAAGCAATTGCCTTGCCTTGAGAATATTTCTGACTTTCAAATCAATACTGAGCGAGTTCTGAAAGCCATGGGAAAGTTGAGCTTGCTGAAATGTTGTTTCTTTGATGCAAGTTGCCTAAGGGCTTGTCTTCAACCATATGAAATATGCTTGGTTTCTAGGGGTGGTGAGTAGAAAAACAGTCAAGTCTCTCTGCTTGTCCCTAGATTCATGGACGAGTTGTGTTGGGGGCGGGGGGAAAATAAAGTTGATAGTCATCACCTATTGGAAATTGTCATAGGAAATAGGAAATCTGAAGTGAAAAGTCTTAAAAGTGGAAATTGAAAGTGAAAAGAATAGTTTCAGCAAGGAACGTGTATGCAGGATGTTACAAAAATGGACCATAAAGGAACCAATAGAGGTGGAGAAGACACGTGAGGAATTGGAGAGAATTTGTGTGATTTACAGAAAGAGGAGGGAAAGCAGAGAAAGTAGAAACACCCAGCATGCATGCTTTCAGTCTCTGGCATGCAGCTTAATGGTTTGCTCCCTCACTTGTTTTGGAGGCTTCTTCAAAATGTTGGGAATCTCGGGGCTTACCAAGACCTGAGAGAATGATAATAGCAAGTGCGTGTGTCTGTATACGTGCATGTATATAGGCACACCAGATTCCTTAATGGGTAACTAAAAAGCAGGTGACTGCAAGTGTTGATTCATGTGAAAATACTCTTACAACAGCAGCAGAAAATGGAGGCAATTCCATGAAACTATTGCTGAGCGGCTGCTGCTTCTCAGGTCGGTACTGCAGAGCAGGGGGCAGTGGCTACCCTTTGGATCGTCTCTTCTTTACAGCTTATGGGACTTTTTCACTTACGTTGAGAAGTGATTGAAAATAAACCTGGGTAGCAGATGGCTAAATTTAATAGCAAGCTCTTCAAGAAAAGCATTTTTATATTTCCTTTCTGGCTGTGGAGGGCTTTTGCAATATCTTTAGACCTGTGACTTGCTCTGCATCTTCATCCACCTACTTTTGCCCATCTGAGGCAAGAGTTTATCAGCTTCAGTTGCAATTTGAGGGCTGTGGCAAATGCGCTTTTTGTCTTCCCACTAGTGCAGGGTTTTAGTTGAGATAATCAGTTTTACTTCCAAGTAGAGTTCATTCTTTCTTTTCATAATGCATTGATGAGCATAACTAATCAATAGATGTAATGGAATAGTGAAAGAACTTAATGTATACTTAAACACGTTCTCCTAAATTTTGTACTTCATTACTGTCAGTTTAGCATATGATGTTAGATATGTGGTTCATCATACCTTTATGTGCTCTTCAGAGACAGCGCAGACCAGTATTTTAATCCTTGTAAATTAGTTGAGTAAAAACATAGTAATAACATCCAATATGTATGAAGAAAGGTTTATTAAAAGTTAAATTTAAAAATAATTAGTGTTAATGTTCAATATTAAAACAGACTTACTAAAGTTGGCATTGTCCATCAGTGAACTGAAAAAAAAATGTTGGGGTTTGATTTCACTGTCATATTTAGTTTTATTCAATGATTTGATCTAGAAAAGGATACTACTTTTTTTTTTTTTTTTTTTTTTTTTTTTTTTTTTTTTTTTTTTTTTTTTTTTTTTTTTTTTTTTTTTTTTTTTTTTACTTTCATGCCCTTTCTGAATTTCAGGTGAAATAGTTACTGAATTTAAACATATGAACTAATCTGAAATAAAAAAATATTCTAAAATCTGTAGAAGGAACCGAGAGTCGTCAGAAGCTGATCTGTTGCTTGCGGACAGCGTAGTTCTGTTTACCAGTGATTCCCCCAGTGGCTGCATCTGTCTGAAACACTGCCAGCAAACATGTATTGTTAAATATTTGTCTGATTTAAGTTATTTTAATGGATTATTAAAAGATTATCTATTTCTTTATTACAATTTCAAATTTAGGTTTAAGTAATTTTATTCTTTAAAAGTCCATGTAGTTTAAATTAGAATGCAGTGTACTTTTTAAGTAAAATACAGATAAAGTTTTCTTATCTCTGGCTTTTGTGTTGAATACATATGAACAGAGTAGTCTTCAGAAGTGACTTGTTTGGGGAAGGGAAGCGGGAGCAGGGGCTCGGGACTGCGCGTTGGGAAGGTAGGGGGGCAGGGACTGGCTGTCTGTGGTGAGCACTGGTGTAGCTCCTGGGAGAGCTGGAGGGTGCTAGAGAGAGATTTTAAACAAGCAGTCTGGGAACATGCTGTGATTTTTAGGAACCAGTTCTGCTAGATGGAGCTACCTCTAACATGCCTGGTCTTCGGAGATCACAAGCTTGATATATAAAAAAGCACTATGGGGAGAATTATGGTTAAAATGCCAGACACAGAGCTCACAGAAGCATTTGAGATATTTTCTTTGCACTCACAAAACTGGGGGTTTTTTTGATTCTTTAAATTATTTTGTGTTTTAAGAAAAGTACTAATATTCTACTCAAACTGTATCAGTTGTACCAAGGTTTAATTCACAGAGCAGTACGTGTTAAATCATTATGAAAGCTTGTGCTAGGTGAAACGTCCTCGTTGGAGTGGATGGTTTTGCAGTATCTGCATGCTAAAGCAAGAAGTAGTAGTTTAAAACCACCACACAAAAATTTCAAGGTGTGCCTTTTTCATAGGGAGGCTTACCTAACATAAAGAGCTTGGGTACAACTTTCATCTCTCATAGAAGAGCCCAGCGTGGGCAAGTCCTGAGCATCAGCTAGCCCCAGCGACCAGCTTTAGCATCAGCAGAAAGGCAGGTGAAGGTGGTCATCTGACAAAGATTCTTTTTATTAAAATACTGGATTTGTTGGGTTGTAGCGGCTTGGATCAGAGTGGCCACAAAGAAATACTGAGAGTACTGCAGTTCTGCTAGGATAAATCCCTTTTAAGGATAATGTACTCTGGAATAAAAAGGTTTTTATGTGGAACATCTATATTAATTATACCATTATGAATTGAGAAAGCTATTGAACAGTTTGAACGCTGTAGGCTATGTTCTAGCATTGCAAATTTATTGTGGAGGTAGAGGGGATACAGTTAAGTAAGGTACTATAGGCATAATTTGGCTTGTGTATTTGTCTTCTCTCACTGTTCTCTGTCTCTGCATTTCTTAATAGGGCGGTTTTTATGGGTTGTACAAATCTTTTCTTAGATCAGAAGACTTAATGAAATTAATATGTATCCTGGCATTGAGTTGCAACCAAGTTAGGTCAGTTTTTAGTGGTTAATAACACTTCCCTGTCACGCACAGTACCTGTTAAAGATTATCCACATTAATATTAGTATTTGAAGCCATGCTTTCAAGTAGACTTACTTTTCTAACATATAGTGGGGTTTTTAATATACTGTTGTTCTTTAAAATACATTTTATAGTCCAACTTATTTTCTGTGATTGGAAGTAGTAGGTCTTTGTATAATTTGTATTTTTGATCAAGGGCTGGATATGATACATTAGCAGTTGTTCTTTGTTATTAAAAAAGTATCATTTTAAACAGAAAGCCATTTTAATGCCTTCTTATCTGTAGCAGTTGTTCACTCTTCTAGAAATTTAAAATTAATGCGGTATGTATGAGACAATGTTGTGATGGGGCAGAGCACGTGGCAAACTGGGAACCTGAAGCCCCATCAGCTTATTTCTCTTTATTGTCTTATGCTGTGGTTACATGAGAAGAGGAGAATGTTCCAGCTCACGATCACTCTGATACTTCATTTAGTGTTGTAAGTTTTTGAAATGTGGTAAAATATACACTATAGAGCAGTTTGTATGTTTAAAGGTATATGATGCTGGACAAACAGGCTGAAGCTGGTCCAGGATCTTGAACAAGTCCTCCAGTGTGTGACAGTTTATTTGCTGCCAATATATACTGTTCTGCCCAACCAGCCCTGTGCAGTTTACAGGTAGAGGGTAGGAAATAATGGCAAAAGGAGCTTTGCTGTCCCTGAAATCCCTGGGTACTGTATTTCAGTGCAAACTTTTTTCTTTTGAAGCTGTGTGTGTGTTAATGCATAGCATTTACACCTTTGAAGGTTATGTAAGACTGGCCTATGTGTGCTTTTAGCTGCACCGCAGAGCTGACAACTGCATGTGTCATGGAAAAGAACCCATTAATTGCATCATCAAGTAGTGTAGTGTCACAAGATCCCTGAAACGTGATCCTCCCTTTCTCTGTCCCACTCCCAGCAGGAGGATAAAGCAGTGTGAATGTTTGAGAGGTGGAGCACTGAGGGTGGGGCATAGCGAGAGCACTGGTGCAAGAAGGGCAGGTGGTTCCTGAAGCAAGATGTCATTTGGGCACATCCTTCATTCACTCTTACCCGTTCACCCAGTATCTATTAAGTGGGAAAAAGAGCAATGAAACATCCTGTGCCCCGATTCGGATCTTGATCTGCCCTCTTAACATCTCAGGTGACTGGAAGCCAAGTCGTTTTCCATATTCAACTCTCTTCCCCATACCTAGCATCTTTAAGATAGAAGCCCTGCTTTAAGGGTTCCTTGATTTCTCTTCTTACAAGTTGAAAGCGTGCTGCATTCAGTGGTCGGGGTAGGAAAACAGATGAGTGACTGTGAGACATCGATCGTCAGCTATTCAGACTTTAAACATGTGGAATGTCCCTGAAGATAAAGGGAGTTTTATACTATTAATTAGGAAATATATATTAGTAGTTCAACAAAAATAGAAGGAAAGACAATATTTGTACATACACAGTGGACTTTTCCTTTAGATGTTAATTGGAATTACCTGTTCTCTGAGCAGGTAAGGATCTCTTAAATGTGAATACAGAATGTTGTGTAACATCTATAGCACTGTATTAACATGAGCTTTCAGTTTGTGCTGGGAAGAAAACTGTAGAAAGAGAAGACAAGTGGACGAGCTGATATTTCATACGTGCAAAATTCCTTTTGGTTAAATAGGAAATAGCTATTGCACAGGTAACCTCTGTGTTATTCCAGCACTGGACCTTCTTGTTCGCAGTCTGTACCTATCGGGAATATTTAACTCGGGCGTTACTGAAGTACTGTTTGAAAACTACCTTCCAAATAAAGCATGGGGCTAAGTGGGTTGAGGGTTTAGGTAAGTGGTGCCGTACTTTCTTCAGATACACTCTTAATTGTATCTGAGAAAGGCACAGTGTCCGTCCTTTCAGGGAAATGGCTGAATTGGGCCAATGCACTGGGTGTGCTGTGTTAATTAGATAAGGAAGCCTGCAATCCGCTTTTTTAAAGAATAATAAGATCAAATTTCACAAATACTTAATCGCACGTTTCACTGAGTGGTATAGTGTATGTTGCAATAGAGTGGTACAGAGAGAGGTATCTGCACAGGGGGTTAATTAAGTTTTTCTGCACATCTTTCAAGCAAGGTACAATATGAGAGTAATGCTCTCATTACTCTACAGCCAGTGTTTGGTGGGTTTGACACGAAGCCACAAGCATCTGTTAAAAGAGACTGTGAGTTTCCTGGTCAAAATATTTTTTATTATTATTATTATTATTATTATTATTATTATTATTATTATTATTATTTAAATTGAAATTTTTATTGTGGCTAAAATCTTTTCGAGAGGTCCTGAGGTACCTCCACTTTTTTAATTATATCTGGATTTGTAGAAGCTTCTATCAGTCCTAACTGGCTGTTCTCTTATCTCGCACACCGAGCCTACTGCAGAGGCTTGCTGTAAACTGTGTCAGTGCAGGTGCCAGTCTGTTCACAACTCCTCTAGCTCTATTTGGTTCACACCTTGAAGACTTAGAGCCAAGAATACTGCTAGGTGATAGACAGAGGGTTTTTTTTTTTTTTAATTGGTAAAATTATGCATAATAAAGCTGGAGGAGACGGATGAAGATGTTCTCATCTCATATAGTGGTCACAAAGCATGTTCCAAATGAGGCAGATAATGTTCCTAAATTTTTTTTTCTGGATGTTGTTCACTGAGAAGAAAACAGATGGGATTTTTCTTCTGAATGCCTACATTCACAAAAGCACTTTAATAATATGAACTATAACAAATGATGCTCAACTTCTCTCCTGTTGAGAAATTGAGGGCTACTTGGAATGTAATTTAGCCCTATTTTTATTCTCTTGAAAGCTCGTTTGTGTGGATGTTCATGTCATTTACTGAAATTTAATTTGCAAACAAGATTTACTTTAGCTCTGTTTTGAAGTACTAATGCATACAGAGATCAAAAAACCCAAGAGATTCTGGAGTTATTACTGCTCTTCTATGAGACTGTGAATCCATAAAAAATTACTTTAGTTCAGAAAATTAGAAAATTGCATATTAAGTATGTTCAGTCATGCATAAAATTATACTATTGTGGTTATCAAGCGGTCAGCATTTTGGTTTTCTAAACACATGAATGAGAAAGCCTTTCTTCAGAAAATCCTTACCAGTTACATCACTACTTTTCTGCCTCACCTCAAGAAGGGAAAATATCCCCTTTCTGTTTATATTGATTATGATTGGAAGATCTAGGGTGAAGATACCAAATATTTGAGCTAGGTATTTCTAGAACAAAATAATTAACTCAAATTTCTGCCATAATCTTGGGAGAGGAGGTTCTTACGTCCTATGTAATTCAATTATTTGTTAATGTAATTATTCTATTGTCGTGTTTTGCTTGTAAAGCTCTTGAACAGTTATCAGAGAGATGCAAAAATATTTCCTTTTTTTTTTTTTTTCTTTTTTTTTTTTTCCTAAAATGTCCAGGTCAAAATCCAGACAGCATGCTTCATGGCACAGGAATGAAGACAAATCCTGACCAAAAGAAACAAGCGAATGGAGTAACACTCGCTCCAGAGGACACCTTACCTTTTCTTAAGTGCTACTGCTCAGGACATTGTCCAGATGATGCTATTAATAACACATGCATGTAAGTATTGCGTACAGCAAAGGAGAGGCTCTTTGAAGAGGCTCATTTTTGCTCGTGAGAGAGCAAACTCTCTACAGTGCTGACTGAGGTTCTGTCAGGTGATTTGACCATAATTGATTGGAAACGCACTGGTTCTGTGGAGAGCTGAGCACTAAAGCCCGTGGTCATCTGTATGCAAACAGTACTGCTCTCACCATACCTTAGAACCATATGCAACCAGTCATTTTGCCCCCAGCAACTGCTTTGAAGGACTGAGGTTTTAAGTAACCTGTAGCATTTTATAGCTGGGTGAGTATTAAATGATCCAAATGTAAACCTTCTGATAGGACTACCTGCTTGCTTTTAGTCTAATATTTCTTCACGTAGTAGTCAAAAGGTCATGTTGGCAGCATAGCCATTTACTGAGAATACTTCTTGTTACATGTTCTTTAGTTGTAGAGTATGAGGGAAAGGCAGGGGAAAAAAAGAAAAGCCTCTTAACATATGTGGACAGGAGGGTAGTGTTAGGTTTGACAGGCATAAGAATCCTAACAGATTTGTGCACTCAATATGTGCTTGCTTAAGATGGTTTTTTTTTTTTTTTCATGTCATGAAATGTCCCTGGTTTTCCTTTTTTCTCTTCATTTACCGTTCCATGTTTAAGGGCCTTCTGTTTTCTTCTTTAAGAATTAACATAAAGATATATAATAGAAAACATTATTTGCTGCTGTGATTTGAGTCTTTAAGCCTCTCTAGAGCTGTCACTTGGCAGATAAATCAGTTTTTGTGGAACTCAGGGGTGGAATAAAAACTACTATCTTTCTAAATGTAAACACAGGTAGTATTTTACAAACATAGTTTTGTGCCTAGAAAATGTTCCGTTATGATCCAGTGTTTTGTCTTTAAAGTCCTCTGGTTTTTATTTTTTGCTTTTTATCGCCCTCTAGTGTGTGCAGTCAGTATAGGCCTCATTAATGTTTTGCCTCTTAACTAATGGCTGTATAGATCATTAGTAGGGATGTTTTTATTTATGATAATAAAGCTGTTAGTTAATAACACTTAGGCGGTGTTCATGTGCAGGGTATTTTATGACCTTATGCCTCCCAAATCTGCATGCATTTAAATAAAAATTTTTTGGCAAACAAAAATATTTCTGGATTTGTTTTCCTTGGTATCTGCAGTGAGCTAATGAATGAATGTTGGTTTGCTTAATAAAATCTTAATTTTACAGGTACTGAAAGCACAGACCTACCATCGCAAATTGGCTTGGGACTGCTTACATGTATTGTCGACATTTTCATGTAGTGTAGAAATCAAAGCTTTTGTATAAAGGGATAATGGGGAATTAAAGTGCCTTTTTTTTTTTTTTTTTTTCCAAAGAATGTAATCTATTTGTTACTGTCAACTTCAGAAAGTGGATTTGGGGGGTTGTTTGTTTGTTTTGCCCTAAAGGCTGAATATTTGAGAGAGCTTACGTGGGAAAACTGTAGCCAAGCTTTTGATCTTGAAATAGCCACCGTTCGCATGCTGGGACTTCTCTTTGGGAGTTTATCATTGCAGTTTCAAGAATAGACACAAGTGAACTTTTTTTTTTTTTTTAATCCTGTGAAATTGTAGTCAGTAAGCCTTTTCACTCAGCTCTTTGCTCTTCTACCCCCTTAGTTGGTTCTGAACAACTCCGTGTGTGTGGTTGGATATGAGCAATCTTGAAGGGAGGTGAGGAAGTAGAAAATAGAATATTTGGGAGAAAACATCCCTCCAGGGTTCTGTTTGAAAATACTGTGGGCGTCTTTTGTTCTCAAACTTATGGTAACCACTGTGTTAAGAGAAAAATTTTTCTAGATGTTGCCATTGTAGGATTCTTGATGGGTTCATGGTCAACTAATGCTGCATATTAAACAACAAACATGCTGGTAAAGCACAATTGCTATGTTTATTCCAGAACTAATGGGCATTGCTTTGCTATCATTGAGGAAGATGAACACGGAGAACCCACGCTTGCTTCTGGCTGCATGAAGTATGAAGGTTCAGACTTCCAGTGCAAGGTAAAAAAATGAGATGATATTAAAATGTAAGATCTCTGTGGAGATTACGTAGGGAAACTGCATAAGCAGTTTAAATCTCTGTAGTTTAAAACTGCAGTCATAGAATTTTGCATGTTGCCATTTGCCAGTGAGGAGAACAGGACGGAACAATCATGGGTGAGTAGTGACAGAAAGGACACTTAATGGTGCTTGAGCAAAGACTGGAATAGAATCCTAGCTTGTTGGAGTTCTCTGCAAGTGTGTCTGTAGGCCACTGACAAGATGAACAGAGGACATCAACCTTCTACTTCTGCCAGCTGTTTCCCCAGTTGAAGAGACAACTTCATAGTCAAACCTAATTGATCGGAGTAGTTTCTGCTTTAATGCAGAATTTCTTGACTGTTTTAATTTGGAATTTCTCGTAAGGAGTTGGCTTCACAGATTACAGAAGACCTCCTTTAAAGTTTCATGAACATGTACACACGGTTTATCAAATGTGTGTGTTTTCCTGTTCAATGTATAACTTTTTTTTTCCTTTTAGAAGAGTTATGCACTGCTTTTGGAAGCACTGCTGACTTCAGTTATAGTTGTGAATGTTTAGGGTTACTGCAAATCAGATCTGAGGTCTCACAATGACCTCCTGAAACTGTTTTTGTATTTGTATTTGTCTTACCTTCAGATTAATTTTCATGCACCTCCATCTTTTATATGGTGTTCTGAAGATGTTTTTGAAGCAAACAGTGCTGCTACGATGAATGCAAGAGAAAAACTTATAAAGGGATTAGGGTTTTTTGCCTTAACAGCGGTATTTAACATACAATTAACTGCTTTTGACCAAGCTTAAAAATTTTGCAATGTAAGAAATAGCAACTTAAAAACCATCTATTTCTGTGCACCAAGTAAAAAAGTTCCATGAGAAATAAAAAAAGTGAACATAGAATGTATGCACCCAAAGAGGTTAGATGATGCTCATCTGCCACTGTGAAGTTGTCTTGTACATTAAATGGTGAGGTTGAACTGTTGGCTTTAATAAAGTAGCTTAAACTTTTTGTCTGTGCTGTGTTGTATCAGTAGCATCACCTGTCCCCATCCTAGCTGATCACTTAAAAATCTGAATGTTTATTCAATTCTTCTTCAACAGGACTCGCCTAAAGCACAATTACGTCGAACAATCGAGTGCTGTCGGACTGATTTCTGCAATCAGGATTTACAACCAACTTTACCACCACTTGATAGTACAGGTAAACAGCTCCTAGATGTCCACACCGCTACTAATAAATGCTATGTGGATTCTGTTCTTCCTGATCAACAGCTAAAAATAAGAAGAAAATGTTATTACAGTATTGCACAGATATGTTTTTTTCCTTACTAAGGAATTTTGGGATGAAGCTCTGTACTACACTTCATACTCTATTTCCAGTTTTCCTCTTCTGCCACTTCCAAGTTAATCTTTTCCTCCATCAATCACTCATGGTATTTTTATTCTCTTAGTTTGCTCATATCGTCATCTGTGTGTGATCTTTTGATCTGTTTTTATTCTATTTCCACAGCCTGTTCTCTTTTCTTTTTAAAATGGTTTTCTTAATCTCTGCTGTGCTTTTGCCATGATTAATGTATCTTTAAAAAAATATTCTGACATTGTTAACTATTATCTACTGTAAACTCATTCTCTTCTTTCTGCTGTTCCCAGTGAAAATAGTTTATATTTTCATGCACTTATTCATTGCTAGAAAAGTCGTACTGGTTTAACTGTTGCTTAATAACCTTCTCAGAATCTTACTGCTGTAAATCCTTCATTTCTATTTCTAAGAACAAGAATCAACCAAAACCAACAACTCCAAAATCTTGGGTTAAATCCTTTTTTTCTGTTGTCATCCAGATGAAATTATCTCTGCTCTTCTAGCGTAAATACGTACTTTGATACTAAAACACTATAAATTTTGTGTAATTGCATATGAACTGATGTTATATGCATCAGCTGTCTTGCTCCTTTCTGCCATTTGGCTCCACATACTGTCACAGAATCACAGACTGGTTGAGGGTTGGACAGGACCTCTGGAGATCATCTGGTCCAACCCCCCTGATCAAGCAAGACCACCTAGAGCCAGTTACACAGGACCCTGTCCAGGCAGCTTTTGAGCATCTCCAAGGAGGGAGACTCCATGGCCTCCTTGGGCAACCTGTGCCAGTGCTTGATCACCCTCCCAGTAAAGAAGCATTTCCTGATGTTCAGATGAAACCTCCTGTGTTTCAGTTTGTGCATATTCATATGCACAGTGTATGAAAATATTATACCTTAATAAACTGTTTAATTAATAGACTTTGGAAACTTTCCTTTTTTTTTTTTTTAATAGATGGACTTTTTGATGGCAGCATTCGTTGGATGGCAGTGTTGATTTCTATGGCAGTCTGCATAATTGTCATGATCATCTTATTTAGCTGCTTTTGTTACAAGTAAGGAAAGCACTTTCTTTATTGGCAACGTTTTTAATTTCCCAAATTAATGTAAATAGAATAGTTATTTTGTGAAGGTATTCAGTTAATTGTATATATTTCGGACAAAAATAGATTGGAAGTGAAACTGTCATAATTTCACATTTCTGTTCATAGCAGTTTGCATTGCTAGGTAAAATTATATGTTCACAGCATAGAATTTTTAGGTGAATTTGATCCTTTCCTCTGGTTACAAAGTGTTTACAGTCTTCTAAGCTACACAGAACTTTGATGCTATAGCATCCAGCAAATAGGAGTATCTTAATGCTTTTTGTGTGTTTGGATCTTCAGTCACTTTTGATGGTTAAATTCCATCTACTTCTGAGATTTACCTTTATAAAATGCTTTTGTAAGCCTAAAGCGACAAGGATGTGTTTTATAACTTTTCCTTTCCCTGCTGTGTTTCAAAACTAAATAATTGACCAGCTGAGCTGTGGCAATTCAGGCAGGGGCAGTTGGAGAGATGATGCCCGCTTCTGTCGGCGGCAGCCCTGTGCTGGAGATGATCGTTATTCTAGCAGTTCCAGCAGAAATGTGCATGTGTCAGCCTCATCTGCCATGGTTCAAGGTTCAGTCTGTTAGTTTAAACCAAACCCAGCAGTGTTGGGCTAGTAACAGTGGCTGTGAGCTGAGTATTAAAAATGCTGGTTTTCCACCTGACTCATAATAAACTGACCTGCCTCTACATGCATTACAACAACTGCTTAATATTAAAAAAACTATGTAAGCTACATTTCTGAAAAGAAGGTACAGTAAAATCTGATTTTTTTCTTTTAAGAAAACTTGTACATTTAAATAGCTTTTAAAAAAAAAAAAAAAAGAGCTCAATATACTACATACTTTGAAGAGTGTTTTAGAGTTCAGCCTAACTTCTCCTGTTACTTTTGCAGGCATTACTGTAAGTCGATGGCAAAGAGGCACTGTTATAATCGTGACCTGGAACAAGATGAAGCATTTATTCCAGCTGGGGAGTCATTGAAAGACCTTATTGATCAGTCGCAGAGTTCTGGGAGTGGATCAGGACTACCGTTGTTGGTAAATCATAAACTAAGATTTTTCTTCATTGAAATCGAATCTTCATCCAATGCAAAGTTTGGTTTGTACCTAATGCCTAGAACAAAACAGTTTATCCATACAGTATGTTAATTACTTGATATGCTCTTACTGTGAAAGATACAGTACAAACTAAATGCGTACGAAAGCCCATCTTCACGTAAAATGAAATGCAGAATTAGATTGTGTTAGGACATCTGTTGGCATCAGCAAAATTTAAAGAAAAATTAGACCCTACAGACATTAAGGTAAAAATGCAGTGAATGGATAATACAAGTACAGAATTGAGCAAACTCAAAAGGTACTTTTATTCTTAGTGTCCACTGTACGCTAGAATAGATTTGCTTTTTATTGGCCAATAATTCTTCATAATTTTTGGTTCACCATACTATATAATACTTGCATAAAAGTTAGCCAGTGAGACAGATGACTAACTGTTTCTAAAATAGAAGCATCAGAATTAGATAAGAAGCTGAGCTGATTTAATCTTTTGGGGGTTGTTATACAATTCTTCCTTGGAGGCAGCAGTAATGAGTTTAAAATGGGAATAGTGGAAAATAACAGAGAACAAAAAGCAGGTTGTACAGGTGCTTTTGGTTATTAATTGCTGGGTTTCTGTCTTCCACCTTCCCCTCTTTTTTTTTTTTTTCTTCCCTAGGTTCAGCGCACTATTGCCAAACAAATTCAGATGGTGAGGCAAGTTGGAAAAGGACGGTACGGCGAAGTGTGGATGGGCAAATGGAGGGGTGAAAAAGTTGCAGTGAAAGTGTTTTTCACCACAGAAGAAGCCAGTTGGTTCCGAGAAACAGAGATTTACCAAACTGTTTTAATGCGTCATGAAAACATCCTTGGTAAGGAAGCAGCACATCGTTTGGCTACTGGAGGGCTTGTGTGAGGGTGAAGAAGGAGGAGTTCTTAGTGGGTGGCTTGAGGGGTATATGGTGGCTTCTATGGAATAACCAGGTGGGTGTCCCTTAATGTATGCTAATAAAATGTTATTAAAGGGTAGAATCTTGCTGCTTTTGGTTGGAAATGTGTCTGCAATCTCTTTGCTGGAAGACTGGAATGGTAACCTCATGTCTAGTTGAAACCTGAGCTTTTTTACATTATTAGTTTTCATAAGGGGAACAGGTATCTTTTCAGTCCAGGACAATATAGCTTTAGGAATTCTTAGTAAATCTGTTGCATAAAAAGTTTTATGTACAAATAAGTTGTAACTTTGTTTATATATTTCATAGGTTTCATAGCTGCAGATATTAAAGGCACTGGCTCCTGGACACAGCTTTACTTGATTACAGATTATCATGAAAATGGATCATTGTATGACTTTCTGAAATGCACTACGCTGGACAACAGGGCTCTCCTCAAGCTGGCGTATTCTGCTGCATGTGGCCTGTGCCATCTACACACAGAAATTTATGGGACACAAGGCAAGCCTGCTATTGCACACAGGGACCTGAAGAGTAAAAACATCTTGATAAAGAAAAATGGAACCTGCTGCATTGCTGACTTGGGTCTTGCAGTCAAGTTTAACAGGTAGATGAATAAATCCTCTGTAATGGGAAAACTTTTATATAATTTTTTTTAATGCACCAGATGTCCAATTGAAAAGGAAGTTGGAATCATTTGGTTGCATGCTTTGTTTTTTCAGTTTTGAGAGTAAAATGCTGCTCTTCCTTTGAAAGCTGGTAAGCATCAAGATGAAAATAGGTTGTTAAACAACAATGAAAAGACTCTTCTTGTGGAAAATAAAAGTAGTTTTGTAGAGAAAAGGAAGAGGAGACTAATTCATTCATTATTCAAAACTGGCCTTTCGTAGTAATTATTATCATGTAGTTTCATTATAAATTACCTCATAAAAAATTTGAACAGTGTGAAGGGACTTGAAACTTAATTGAAAAAGTAATAGTGTTATTGAATACTTTTTTTTTTTTGGTTCGGTGGAGCTGGAGAATTGTCTTCTGCTGCAATAGAGCCTGAAAGAAAGCATAAGCCTTTGCAAATAATTTTTTGAGTTGTTACCGAATATACTCATCTTTATAGTGGTTTTTAATTCATTTTTTTCATATGTGTTTTCAGTGTCTTGCAGAAGAAGCAGTAAACTGCCAAATTCCATACTATCATTTTTCTAGATAAACTTTTTCAGGGAGGTACAATGTATTGTAAGTGTAGTATTGAGAGGGAAATAAAGGAAAGAATTTAATTTGTAAATAGGAGCTTTGCAGTGTAGTGATTGCATCACACGTGATTTCATACCGAGTCTTGTAATAGTCCACAATTCACTAACTTCCTAATATTTTCATACAGTGACACAAACGAAGTTGATGTTCCCTTGAATACTAGAGTGGGAACAAAACGTTACATGGCTCCAGAGGTCCTAGATGAAAGCCTGAATAAAAACCATTTCCAACCATACATCATGGCTGACATCTACAGTTTTGGGCTGATCATTTGGGAAATGGCTCGGCGCTGCGTCACAGGAGGTAAACTTTTAAATACTGTGTATAAAATCTACCAGGCCCATGTCTCATTTTAACAGTACTTCTCCAAGAAATAATATAACAAGCCTATTATATCAACAACGCTTGCATTCTTTAAAAACAGTAGTAACAGCCTGTCTAGAGCACAGCTTGAAAATCACTGAACTAAACCTTTTTGGTTGTTACAATTAAGCATCTCAGGCTTTTCGTCCTTGCTCAAAAAGCAGAGTGCCTGGTCTGGGAGAAATAGTGGGATGCAGATGTATTTCACCCCTATGCTGTTAATGAAACTTCTAAAGTGTAATTGATAATTTTGTTAACACTTTCTTGTGTTTCTGGTGGCATTCGGTTTTCTCCTTACACATATTTTTGTGACTCGTTCTTCCTTTTCTTTCACTCTTCTTTTGTGACCTCATGGATCTTTACTTGTATTCTCTTCTTCCATCTTACGCTGGTTTTTTGTAGCATGTAGTTTATTAGAAGATGTCAAATTCTACATTGGGTATCAAAGTCAAAAGGACTTAAAGGAATTATTGTAGCTATTAAACTTAATATTCATAATATTGGAGTTTTCTGGTACATGATTAGTATAGTGATTTTTTTTCTTTTTTTTTTTTATTTTTATCACGGTATAACAGTGTGGTGGGTTTGCCTTTGCACAAAAGTGAGTTAACTTTTGCTCCTGGCTAAGGAAATCCGAGTGGTTATATAGATTTGGGGTTTTTTTTTAAATGGTTCTTGATCTTTCCCAATTATCTCCAGGTATTGTTGAAGAGTATCAGTTGCCATATTACGACATGGTGCCAAATGATCCGTCCTATGAGGACATGAGAGAAGTGGTGTGTGTCAAACGCCTACGCCCAGTAGTATCGAATAGATGGAATAGTGATGAAGTGAGTATGCTGAAAGGAAAAAATAGTTCAGTTTGTTCATTAATGTGGATGGGTAGTTTAGTTGAATAAATACTGAAACATTGTAAAACAGGGACTACATTCAGACATTTTGGGATTTTGAAAACCTCATAGCAACAACAGGAGGAAGATATGTTTGAAATCAACTTGAAATACTGTATCTTTTATGTATCTTTTCAGTGATCTAAGGGGAAGATACCCTTAAGTAGCATCCAAGTGTATGAATACTGCTCTGAGATCTTCTTTTTAGACAGTAATATTTTTCAGAGTTTTGATTGTAGCTAAAAATTAAATAAGTTTTTAAGTGGTTTTATTAGTATTAATTTATATAGCATATTGGTTTGTTGCATAAGGTATTTCATGGAATACAAAGTGATGTCTGTGTTTGTAGATTTCCTCTTTTTTTTCTTTTTTTCTTTTTTTTTTTCTTTTTTGCTGGTACATTCTGAGACAAGCCATGATTTTACTAAAATATTAAATTTAAATGTGTTTTTAAAGGGCCGCAGCTTGAACACAGTAAATAAGACATAACTATTTCACGTGGCAAGCTAGATATGTCATATCCTTTCTTCCCCAAATCCTTGATTTCTTTTAGGAATTCACGGGTTTTGCATGTTATTTTTTGACTGATGAAAACAGTTTTGTCACATCTTCATTTTCACTGAAAATGTTCTCCACAGTTTTTCTGCCTAATATATTGAAATTTTTCTGCTTATTGCTACCGGTTTTGTACCGCTGTTCTTGAGTTGTAATGATAACGTTCTGGTAATGCATCTTTGTGAGACTAAAGAAACGCTTCAGTTAGTTCCAGCTACTGTAACACTAGGCAGTGAAAGGAAGGAAAAAGAAGGATTGGGACATGTTGGTTGGGTTTTTTTCTTAGTTGATCTGTTCACAGTAGTTCTTTGCAGAAGATTTAGAAGTTGCGCATTCGGACTTAAGAGTTCTATAATTTGGGCTTGACAGCAAACCAAAAATTATACACCTCTCAGGTCTGTCAATTGTTACAATACTGTTCCTTTGTTTTTTATTTTACAGTGTTTAAGAGCAATATTGAAATTAATGTCTGAATGCTGGGCTCATAATCCTGCCTCAAGGCTCACTGCCTTGAGGATCAAGAAGACACTTGCCAAGATGGTGGAATCACAAGATGTAAAGATTTGACATCGTTAAATTGACATTGGAGAGCAAAGCTGGACTCCTAGATCTTTTCACTCAAACATGGGTGAGACGTATGTGGAAAGAGGAAATAACTGAGATTCAGTATATTTTCCTCAGCACACTTCTACAGGCTGCTAATCAAAGCTTTCAGTACTTCACAGACTGGGATACTGAGAGCCCCTATACACTACATGCTACGTATATGGACAGCCTTGATGACATACACGTTTTGGTTTTGTTTGAGCTGCATTGAGACTTCAGTCATACTTAGTGAGTCTCCAGTAAAACTCTGGGTACTGAATTGAATATTCAGATTACAGTGCTTTCTGTGAAAGCCTAACAAGCTATATGGATTCAACAGAGATGGAGAATATAAGCTTTTTTTTTTTTGCCTTCTACCTGATAAAACCTAGTCAATCCGTACCAAGTTTTTGTGAAACAGCCTGTAGGTTATGAATCTGTTTGTGATACTACTCAGTTTAACAGTTCCTTATGCCTTTATGTGTGTGCCAGGATTATTTTGCTGTCATTTGGAATAGATAAGAAACCATTTAAATGAACAAAGTTTTGTATTCAGGGCTCCATGCATTTTGTAGCTCCACAACCAGAGATTTGCTACGGAATTTACTCCTTGCCATTAAGTTATCTTCCAGAATTTCAGTTTTAATTTTGTTTCTATTCTTGTTTTGGTCACAAGGATAAGTGCAAAAGCGTGAACCATTAATAAATTAAGGAATGCCTACCGGAGTCTCTAGAGAGCTTGAAAAAATCTCTCTTAGAGGTATAGACTGCCTGGTCATCTCACTTACAGTCTAGTGGGCTCCATAATTGGATGACTATAAAATTTGGCATGTTGTTCACAATGCCACATGCAACCAGTGTTTTTGCTGTAGAATACTTTACATCTTAACAGAGCGACTATTAATGATGTGTTTTGCCTTTCTGTATTATTGAGACTCACTGGTAAGCGTCTGTCATGCTCTGAACTTTTTTCCACACAGGAGGGAATCAGTCAGCTGTAGGAGCATCATTTTTCATCATTTGACAAAACTAGGCAGAAGATAAGTTTTTGAAAAGCTTAAGAACAAGTCTCGTTTGTAGACACAAATAGGGAAGGCAAGAAGCGCAGCTGGGCACTCAGAAAACTAGAGAATACAGTAAAGGTCAAGACCAGGAAAACAGAGTATGTGCACTGTTGAGGATAAGATCCACAACATGCAGAAGATTGTGAGCTGGGTTGCCCTGATGTAAATGCAGGAGGCCGTGTCTGTGGGCCAGTTAATGGAGAGTTACAAAATTCAAGATTTGAGACAAGGAAAATCAGTGGGTGTTCTAAGTTCTAGTTAGGCACATTTGGGAGGAATGACATTAAAAGATAATTCATGAAGATAAGTTAGTTAACATAATTGCAAAATTTGGTCCTATTGTGCCAACTATTTGGCATGCACAGGAAACCATAGTTCCCTCCTTTTCTTCACTGCAAGACCAGAACCCCTCCATGAGGTTACTGTAAGGCAGAATTACTGATTTATAACTCCTTAGGCACTTCTACTTTGAAGTTAGAAAATAATACCATAACTCAACTTGAAGCTTCAAATGCATGAATCATCGGAAGAATGAACACACAGTATTGGAACCATTAAGCCTATTTGATAATTTAAGTGCCTATAACTTTGTACTGTAAATCTTTTTCTAGATAACTTTAAAAAGGGAAGTTATTTATACAGTGTGTTTTGTGCTTTAGTAAGAAAAACCACCTAGTCCTAGGTACATGTGTACAAATGAGATACCTGCACACACACACGTATGCCATAGTCAAGATTTGAAGAATAAAGTTAGGAATAATATTGAGATTGATGAAACAATGTTAAAACGTCAGATTGATTTATGCCAGATTATTTGTTGTCTTAAAATATGTACATGGAGATTGTTTTGATATGTGTTTAAATTTCCCTTGAAAAATACAACTGATAGAAAACAATGTAATACAGAACTAATGTGATTTGTGAACAATTACAGCCTTCTAACATGTTATTTTTTTGTTCTAATTCTGTAGTTCACATAATGTAAATGGTCAGGCAAAAAATTGCAGTATTTTTATTTTCTATTGTGATGTACAGACTTTATTTAACAGTTCTACATATTTTATAGAAAAGTAGCTATTTCGAGGGACATTTCTTTTTTTAAAAAAAAAAAATAAAGTCATTACTTTTGTTCAGTAATGCCTTTAAGTATTAATATGTATTCTGGCTGAAAAGTTCGTAGGTGTGTCAACTATAATTTTAACTTATTTGAAAAAAACGAGAGATGTGATACTGTGCCACAATCCTCATGATAAAGGGCTTTTTAAAAGAACATTTCTCCGTCCATTGCCAAGAAATATATGATGGCTTTGAAATTGTTAATCATGTCTTCGCGCATAATTTTTGCACAGGTAGTTGGAAAATATTTGGTATGAGCCAAAAATGTAAGGGATAAGCTTTTTTTTTCTTTCTATAGGATTTTTGTCAATAAGAAGGAAAAATGTTTGTGTAGATACCCTGCTAGCTTAAACTTTCAGAGCATGGAGGTCTATTTAAATTAACCCATTCCTATTTAGAATATTTTTTTCTTTCTTTTAGAAGTTGTCACAGCATTATTAGCTGTAAAATCATTTTGTGAATTTTTTAATTCATTTTTCCCCAAGTCTTCAGCAAACCATTGCTGGAAGTGTGAATTTCAGTATTTTTAATTATTTGCTTATTTCCTCCTTCACTGTTTAGGCATTTGCAAGGCAATAGGATGGGAGACATCTTGAGACCTGAGTTGATTTACACATTCACTTTAACACAGAAGAAGTGAGCTGACTGCTGCAAAGATGATCTTTGAGAGAAAAAAAATCTTTTCACCTTAAGCTTAGCCTTAATTTTTCAGCACTTCAGTTACTATGTTCATACTCAAACATATCATGCATATGCAGTTGTCATTGTCGTGAAGAGGAGCTGCTAGGTCTTTAGCATCCCTTGATTCCTTGATATTCAAAAAAATGTTATCGCTGAAGGACCTGCGTGCATAAAGCACTTGAGCACATATCTGCGTTCCATGCAAAGTCATTCACTGTTTGGAGCCTAAGTATGTCTATAAACTGATATTTTAGCAATCATTTGGAAAAAAAACAAAAACCCTTCACTCAAAGCTAGCCCATTAATTTTTACATAATTAAGCGTACTTAGTGCAGATTCTAAAGCTAAGTTGTTGCTTTGTGCAAAAATGTAGAGTTCAGAAGCCTCTAAGGTCAGGGAGGGTAATAGGGTTCTTCTGTTGGACTGTGATTAATCTCGTTTTCTTGGTCAAAATTTTAACCATTTATCATCGGGGAGAAAAAAAAAAAATATCCCCAAAACTGGTAAATGTGTTTTGGGGGGGGGTTTATTATTTTTTTAATATAAAAATCAGAAGCGTGGAAGATATCTTGGGGAGTATCAAGACACCGTGCCTTGGAAGTTCTTAAACACTCACATATGGAGGGATTTTTTGTATTTGTTTAACCTGCCCCATGTGATTTCAGTTAGGTGGAAAATAAATTCGAGTTACTTATATAATTCTTACTGTTACAGCAACTGAAAGGGAAGTTTCTGTGTTTCTGGTTAACTTGTAAATTCCTCAAGAATCGTGATATTCCTACAGAAGAATGTAGGCTTACATTTTGAGTTTATTCCGAGTTTTACTCAATATGTAATTTTGCCCAAGTTCTACTCAAGAAACTGAGTTTTCCCAATATCCATCACTTTTCCCGAATTATTTTTTTAATTAGTCTATTTTGAGGTATTGAATAAAATGTAAAACTAGTATTTTAAGTTACCTCCACATCAGTCTAGAATCAAATTTTAATCTTGATCTGAATGACCATTTGAATGTGTTTATAAAACAAATCATGTGGATACATTTAATCTACTCTAGTCTTCACAGACTGTATTTTAACAGCCTAAAATGTTTGAAAAGCAAAGATACTAAGTTAAAAAGCATCCTTTGGCTCTTGCAGCTATTTTTAAAGGGAATTTATGTGCTCATCTTCTGTCAAATATTAGAATGATTTAGCACTTCCTCATTCTTCTGACAGTGCCTCTGAAGCCAGAAGTCTTTATCCGGTGCCCACAATCTTTATTCCAAGCAGGGGTGATGTCTAGAAATGGGTGGCAACGTTGCTTTAGGGAGCCGCCGGCTATTAGCCTTATTGGTATAGCAGAAGTGGAGTGCACATCACTTCTAATTTTTGAACAGATCTCATGTAATCGTTGCTTTGTAATATTTTACCTTGGAATGCAATTATAGAAGCCCACATCATGTAGTGACGTTTGTGCTCCGACATGCCGTGCCCCAAATGAAATGTACTATATTGTATACAAGAAGAATAAATAACATTGTAGTTAACCTAGAGAAGATGTAAATAAAATATGAAAGAAGAGTGGAATAAGAGAAATGGTCACACTCTTGTGTGTGTTATATGCCAGAAGTGTAGAATACTCCTTTAAAAATGTAACACACTAATGTATTTTGTACAGCATCTGCTTTAGAAGGTGCCTTATTGAGTTTACCATGAATTGCTTGTTCTGTACACAGATTATGTCCAATGTATCATTTTTAAGTAAATAACCTTATTTTAGTACACATTAGTTATGTGTTTTGTTACTATAAGATTTTGCCTTAAAAGTGTAATGACTTGGAAACCGTAATGCTGTAACTAAATAATTCCCTACTTTTTAATACCTCGCTTTTGTTTTATTTCCCCACAGTCTTTGAATAAGTTGTTAATGCTCACTTTTATTGTTCAGTGGTGTTCAGAATTATTTGGTGCTCTATAATACAGGCTCTGTATTCCTTGGACTAAATTTGGGCACAACAGTAAAACCAGTGTTTCCTTCTCCTGATTTTCATCCCTGTCTTACAGCAAAGCCAAAAGCAAGTCAAAACTGAGCAATAATTTTATTTGAGCATATACAAGTTCACTACATACTGGTTTTATCCAAAGAAATGTGCCTCAAGCTCTTCAAGTGAAAAGAGAGAAAAATAAAGGGATGGGGGATTCTGTAATTGGTTTTTGTTCCCTCTGTGTCCAACATTCTTCTTGTGTAGTGATATCCAAATTAAGTCATGTGAGCTAATACGCTTACATGCTGTTGGTTACAAAATTATGCAGGGGCTTCTGTATAGCCTGCTAAATGCACTCTGTTTTTTGATTCAAGCAAATGAAGACTGATCAAGGGGATATCTCATCTGTGAGTACACAAATTCTATAAAACCTCAGCATTTATTTTCTCAGTGCAGAAATGTATTGGCTACTACTCTCTGTAGAGTTCACTTTTCGTTTGCAAGCAGGAAGAAGTAAGATCGATTACTATTCTCTTTTTGCCTTTGATCAGCAATAATCTTAGTTTTAAAGATACTTTTTTACAGTAGCTAGAAAGTTTTGACATCTGAGCATCATACAAACTGCTACCAGTATATTGTAAAGGTAACTATAACACTTTTCCTTCCAGTGAAATCAAGTGTTAAAGTCTTGCATTAGAGTTCTGGAAGGTACAGTGGAAGACTAGACTGTATGTAGTTTTAAACTTCCCCCCCCCAGTACGTAATACCAGGATACCGCACAAAGATTTGGTCTCCTTACGCTTAGTGTCTTGGCAAAGTAAACTTTTTCTTTTGGTTGTGCCTATTGTGTAGTTTGTGGAATATCTTCACTGATTACACTGGTCGTGGTTGGATTGAAAACTGGGCTTTTTATATTAGCGTTACAGGAAGACATCATGAAAATACCACGGGTAACTGAATCTTTTTGCACCAGTCTATGTTTTGATGAGAACTTAATTTTTCCCCCACCCTAATGTTACTTCTTGAAATGACCACAGGATGGTGCTGTATACTAAAGATACGAAGATCCTTTTGAAAAAACTGGGCAGCTTTGATAAATGAAAATAAATTCTACTGCCTGCTAATAATGAATATCAGAATGTTTGTGTATGGTTATTTTTGACCTCTGTATAAAAACCTGTTACTGATGATCTTGCATCGGTATTTAAGAACGGACACAGCCATATCCAGTGACAAGTCTAAAAACCCCGTATGTATTTTGTGTGCAAGCCAAAGAGCATACTGAGTTGTTGGTGAGTTGAATCACAAGCTTTTAAATAGATTGCAGAAGTATCACTAATTTCATAAAGGATCAGATTTAACTCCATTAATTTCATTAATCCCTTCTGCAGCTGTATCTTCACCTCTCCCCAAAGTACCGCTTCCCTCTTTCTCACTGATGTTAATGTAGTAAGTCAATACCCGCTGTGAATCGGAGTCACGAGAGGACCACTACTGTGGGTTCACCACCTCATGAATCTGGCTCGTGAGGAGTGACCATCATGGACTTCAGGGAGTGGCTTGATGTGGATATCCGACGTGGGTTCAGATGAATCTGGTTGCAGGATTCAGGCATTGGTGGATTGATAGCAAGTAAAATTGGTGATGTAGAATGGGTATTTGCATTTTGAGTAAAGTAAGGAGGTCATCTTAGAGATGGAAAAGAAAAAAATATCTGGAGACTTTAATTTTAAAATATAAAGCGCTATAAGATACTGACATTCATAAAGCGGTAAAAGTTTCAGTAAGAAAATAATTATGCAAAGGCATTAAGATGCACAGCTTTTTTATCTTTTTATAAAGCTTAGTGGTTTGATCTAGAACTCCAGAAACCTGAGCTATCAGCAATGTTTTTTGGCAGTTACAGGATTTTTGGGAAGTACTAAGTTGGAAGCTTTTTTTTTAGATACGAGGCTCAGGTTGGCGATACAGATATCTGTCTCTTGGAGTGAGCGTACGTGTTTTTGTGCCTGTTGGTGCTTGGCCAAGCGTGCTGGTCTGCTGTGAGATAAACTGAAGCAACTTATCTACTCTTACAGACAACTCTTTTCCTAATGCTTACGGTCAGCTTCAGTTTGTTTTTCATGTTTGAAGATCCCCTATTCTTAATCCACTGAACCAAGCAATAGCTATTTTTTTAAGTTGTCAATTAATTATCTTTGTTCTCTCGCCATTTTTGTGGCAAATTTTTCTTTCCATTAGGTCCTAATTTGGAGCCTGCTGTCTTTTGATTAAAATTGTTTCCTCTAGTCCGTTGCCCAGAAATGCAAATCATAGTGATGTGGCTGTGTTAATCTTCCAAAATAACCAACAAACCAACACCTCCAAAAAACTGCAAACAACAAGTGTTTTGGGGGGGTGGGGGGTGGGGTGCGTGTTTAATAGATTTGTACCAGTAATCAAATAGTTTGCTTGTATTTCAGAGGTGGTTTAGATGGAATTTTATTAAAAAGCTGATGTATTCATTAAAAAAAAAAAAGACACCACAACCCAGTAGGTTAATCATCTTTTCTCTTGTCACTTGAAGTCAGTCAGGCTTCCTGGCTTATGCAGCCAATAGAATGTTTTAACCCATTATCTTTCATTAATTTTTTGCTTTATAGTCTAAAAAAGAGTGTTCCAGTCAAGTATGTCTTCTTTGTATATGCAGGTGGCTAACTTAAGCGCATATTTGAAGATACAAATATATAAACATCTTTATATTAACATTGTGTTCGCTCTGGAGTCGATGATCTCTGAACTTGCCTGGCTTTCTATTCAACAAAAGCAAACTCTGGTAAGCACAAGGATGCCAAACCTATAGAAGTCCTGTCTGGATGAACTGCTGTCCTATCTACTACCTACCATGTTATTTTCCAAGTAGCTATATGGTTTTCATTCCAGTTGAAGCTTTCTGTCAAAACTTTAAAGACAAGCAAAGTGGTTTTAAATATATGTGTGTGTGTGTGTATATATATGTATATCCCCTGTCTGTGTTTAATTGTGGAACTTAGCTGGTAGCTGCAGAGTCGGTGTGCACTGAAGATGTGTTCCTGGAGCTACCCTGACCTAGGCAGCACACTTGGCTTGGCGCTGCAGAACGATGCCATCACAAAAGCCCATAGTTGGGCCACCACTGGTAAAAACGTCAGTGTCACCCCAGTATAGTAGCTTTGTACTGAAAGAACACAATCTTACAATTTGATGCTTTTCTTCCTTTTTGACATTCCGCCTCTTCAACTTTTTCTTCTCTTCCTATCCTCAGCTATTTGAGCAATCTGTGGGACAGACGATGACACTGAGCCTGCGGGGGCTTTGTGCTGCCTGCCGCAGAGCAGTGCAAGATGTGGCTCCATGCTAAATAAACGGGGAGACTTGGCCCGTTCATCCTGTGTGAGAACCAGCATTGGCTAGGAGTAGATGGATGATCTTTTAGTCATTTGCTTTGTTGGATTTCTCAGGATGGAGAATAACAATCTCCTCAGCAAGTCAGTAGCCAAAACTGCTTTGTGGCTTTATTCCAAAAGACACATATTGTATGCTCGTCAAACTGTTGTCTTAAATGCCATGTGTATTGGTACCAATGTGTTTTTTAATAATTTTGTAGTTTAGCATTGCTTAGAATACAAGGAGGTGGGGAGAAAACCCCTTATCAGCAGGGTAGATTTCTGTTAGAAAATACTACCTTAAAAGAGCATAAAATATATAATCAGATTTCACCTCTTTCATCAAAAATGTTGGGAATTTCTAAGTGCATTTCATTTTGGCAAATTTAATCATTTTAATATTGTTTTGTAAGGCATTAGGTTAGACAAGGAAAAATATCACAATAATTGAACTTCTTTAAAATGAAAGCCTTTGGGATATTGTACCTGACAGAAGGAAAGGTTTTGGACATGACCAGACATTGGTCATCTTGAGATTTTGGAAATTCAAAACCCCTCCATATTTTAGAAAGTCTACTCTTTGGTTTACTGTAATTATAAATGTATTTTATATTCAACAATGACAGCAGACCAATGAGTTTGCCTTTTTGCTCTTAGTTTTATTTGCTTGCTTAATTGGTTTTAAACTACTTACTAAATGCTGAACTCTGGGCTGAACTCACGATATTCTTCAGGATTATCTTTAGAAATAGACTGCATTTTCACCAATATTTTTTTAATATTGTTGACATTTTCTTAATGTCTGAATGTTAGATGTAATTCCTCTTAGCAACGTTATGTTACTATTAAATTTTTGCAGTGTAGTTGAAATGCCACACAGGCCTGGAAGCAAAAAGACCAGGCCATTTCTAAGGTACTTGCGTACGAATACTAGCGTGGGGTGCATCTTACGGGGTGCGATTGATCTCTTCTAGTGTTCCTGTTGTGCACAGACTGAAACATTGAATTGGAGGGAGCTGCAGAAGTTTCCAAGACAGTCTGTGACTGCCTGTGGTCCGCAGAGAAATAGAACGTAAAATTGTCCTGGCTTCTTGGTTTTAAGCTACTATTCACACAGTCCTTCCTAAAATCTTTTCCTTGCCAGTGGTGGAGGTATTTGCCGTGGGAGGATACTCTTTTGCCAGGGGAAAAGAGAAATTATTTGTCTTACAAGTGAAGGAAGTCCCACAAAATGTGTTTTCTAATTAGATACAATTCTCACAGTGGAAGATTTGGGAATGTGTGTGCTGAGACATTTGGAGTCCAAACCATTGAAAGAAAATCCCATTGCTGCTCACAAGCAACTAATCAAAAGCCAAACACTTCCAGAAAAGAAGCATGAAGATGAATCTAGGGTAGTGCTATGTTTAAACACATGCAGTAGGATTGAGTACATCACAGATGAAGCAATAGTGAATTGATCCATTGCATCTATGGAAAGTTACTGATAAAACAAAATGTCATTATTCAAGTTTTAAATAGTAGGAATCCACCCATCGTTGTCCCAGGTGGACTCCGTTTCACTACAGAGCCCTGCAGCAATTCAAAGCATACTTTCTCCCCCTTCTCCATTTCTGCCATAGCAAAAGTAGTCATGGTGTTTCCATTTGGTGTTTTCCTCTGACTACTTGAGAGAGGTTTTTTGTACCCACGGCTAAAGGAGAGTTGTCCTAATGCTGGTCCTGAACTAAACTCCACAGAGATGACAAACAGGTAGACACCTTTATGCGGCGCTTTGAAGTAGCCGTGTTCAGGGAAATAGCTGTTTCCATAATTGAGGTAAGTTTCATTAAACCTCAGAGTTTTTTCTTTATCCTTTCCTTCTGAGAATCCCACATGGAATGCCACCAACGAGTCTGAAAACGAAAGAGGAACAGGATTTTAGCAGTGAGCACTCTTCTCTCCCCAGGATCATTGGAGCGGGAGATAGGGTGAAGAATTCCTGTATGCTCCGTTGTAGAGCTAAATGCTTGAAATGGGTATGTGCCTGGGATTAGATCAAATGGTTCCCTGGACCACTACTCTTGGAAAGGTATAAGGCTGAGACCACCCAGGGGGAAAAAAAGTAGAGCGTTTTTGCATTCCTAAAAATAAGTTAGATTGAAATACATCCTCTGCTTATTCAGTTTTAACTACAGTTCTGTAGTACAGATGCCTAAAGGGGCTGATTTTTGCTCCACATTTTATGTCAGTAGCAAGGGCTACAGTTGTGGAAGCCAGTGCTAAAGTTGTGGTGGTTGTAATTACCAGGTGCTTTGGTCAGTTCCCTTTCCCTGTAAACATGTGGCCATGTCACAGTGAAGTATAACCTGAAAACTTGTCGCTGAAGCTTAGCCCTAAGAGTGTGCGCGCTCTCTGGCCCAGTCCTCCCTGTTCCACTTGTGCCAATTATACCCGTTCATTTAATGTATCTGTCCACATTAGGAAGGATTTGGTGCTTTGAGTACACTCCTTCCAGACTCAAATAACAGAGGAAAAAGAAAAATTTCTGTTCTAAGCATCTAAGGTTGAATTAGTTCAAGGCCAATTTCCCAGCAGCTAGAATGGGTGTCATTTTATTGGCCTCGAGCAAAGTGCAGCAGTGTTATCAACTTGATTCTTGCTCAAACTGCTCATTTTGATGGAAGGGGAGGATGTAAATAATGTCAGAATATCTCCCTCCAGCATCCCACAAGGTACTGACAGGTCTCACAAGTAATATGCTCTGTGTGTATGTGGAACTTACAGCAGGGCCCAGAGAGAAGCTAGACCCGCACATCAGCAAGTAAAGGAAAAGAACCCACCTTTTTCCAAAAGTTCTGTCTGCACTGTATTTCTTCCACTTATCGTTTGCATATTTTCTCTGTGCTTCTCAGGCTTTTTCTTGTCTCTTTGCTTGTCTTTACCTTTCTGTTGCCTTCTTGCTTTTGTGGTCAGCATTGACTGAATCTTCGTAACATCCAGACTTATATTTGAGGCAACTAATTCTTCGTTGCTTCCAAATAGCTTTTTAAAAATCAGCAGATGTTCCTCCAGCTTCCGCTTGATGGTTGCTAAATCTGCCGAGAGAATTTCCACAGACATGTTGAGTGGCTCAATTACATTCACTATTGTGTGATTGCAGCAGAAATTCGTGTCACTTCTGGATTGATGCCTCTTGATTGCCAGGCTCAGGTGTTTGATATCATTCTTCAGAGTCATGATATCATTATAAGCTGAGCTATCCAAGGAGTCATCTTTGGCAGCTTCATAGTTAGGTTCCATATGTTCAATGATGCTGCGTTGACTACTGACTTCATGTAGAGTAGAGGGTGTTTGTGTTTCTTCTTTGGGGTGCTTAGGAGATGTATGAGCATCGTGATTCTTCTGTTGACCTCTCTCCAAGAGATAAAATCTCTTTATAAGAGATTCTAAAGTCACATTTTGTTCTTGGAGTTTATCTGAGATATGTCTGAGAGATTCTTGCAGCTGAAATACTGACGATATTAGGATACTAGGATCTTCTTCAAACAAGACTTCCATAAGTTCTTCTCCCAGTAAAGCCTCCAGTGCCCCTTCATGCCGCATGGCATCTCCCAAAAGAGAGCTGAAAGAACTGTTGAGAAACTTGATTTGTCGATGAATTTCTTCATCTTCCTTCTTCAAGAAGCCTATATCTTCTGAAAAAGCTGTAACTTGCAACTGAAGCTCTCTGGTTTCTTCTTGACGGAGACTAAGGGACTGATGGATAGATGGAAAAGCTGAGTAGAGCTCTTCAATTTCATTCCTCAAGAGATCTCTGAAAACTGACTCTAAGTGCTTCATATCCTTTAAGTTTGATTGGGTGCCTTCAAGGGAATAAGTGATATTCTTTAAATCCTCCTCCAGTATATCCGTGTCAGGAGATATTCTCTGGCAATTACATTCCTCCATGTACCTCAACAGATCTGCATAGTTTTCCTGAAGATTTGAGAGCGTATAGTTGAGCTCTGATATCTGCCTTTCCGTTGCTGCTTTGTTTTCTTCCATAATAAGTGATTTCTCCATTAAAGTTATTGTAAGATCTTCTGGCCTATGCTTTGAGATATTTTTTTTTAACTCCTTAAACCACCTCTCTAAAACTGCAATATTCTGAAAGGCCACATCTGACTCCATGTAAAGTTCTTTAAGCTGCTTTGCGTGCCCTGCCAGAAGGTCATTTATTTGTCTGATGGTTAACTGCGTATTTTCATCTTTGGGACCGTGATGTGAGGAAAAGTCAGTTAAATTTTTTTTCAAAGTCTCGAATTTATTTTCAAGATTGTTTTGCTCTTGTTTCATGTTTGCTATGCTGTTGTTCAAAGCTAAGAAATGGGACTGCTGTACCTTATGAAACTTCTTGAGCTTTGTGTCCGTATCTGCCTTGATCATGGTGAGATTATAGCGAATGCTAGCCTGCTGCATTTGCAGTTGGTTCTCTATATCTCTTTTCACCTGATCAACTTTCACCACGTTTTCTTGGACTTTTGATTCAAACTTAGTTCCCAGCTCCTGGAATTCCTTCTTGGGCACAGTGCTCTCTTGGAATCTTTCTATGCTTCTCTTGTTGGCTTCCACGTCATGGGACAGGTTTTTTACCATGTTTGAGAGGTTCTGTAAGCTTCTGTTGAAGCTTGCCCACACTGGGTTAAAATGTTTCCTTAGAAAATTCTCCACATGGGGAAACAAAACTTGCTGCAGAAGCCTTTCCTGTAGATCTGTTAACACAGTTTAAAAAAATTAATTAAATTTAAATTATGCTTTTGGAACACACCTTAATCTGGCCAGGGTAACTCAAGTATGTATTTTTCTGTAGTAATTGCCATCTTACCCCCCAAAATCTAACCACATGATAAATTTTGACAGTTGTGAAAATAGCCTGATTTTAAATCAAGGTTACGGTGCAGCATGTTGTGTCTTTGAGTCTGCAGACGATAACTTGGATATGTATTGACTGCCCCATTTAAGTCCTAAAAATACTGCATTTTGAAACCCCTGGACAAGCAGTTTTGTAAGGGCTGTAACTGCCCATTTTCATGGCCATTCTTAGCTGGTGGGCTCTTGCTTATTTATCTGTCTCATAATGTTGTTCTTTTTCTGATGCTTTCTACAATGCACCTTCTACTTTACAAAGTTATACAGCATCTTAACAGCTGAATACTCCAGGCCGGGACTAAATAACTTGAAAACTCTGTGAAGTATATGTACTAGGTGTGGATTATACTACGGCTTGATTGCTAACTATATACTAATGTTCCAGAGAAGGGTTGAATGTTCCATTTTTTCACATACACCAGTCTGATATTCCGCATGTCAGAGTATATAGCATGTGCGTATGAAAAAAAGAACAAAACCCAACCCTAAACTCTGCATCCCCATAGTAGAGAAGCAGCCATAGAAGCAGAGTAGTAAGCTAACAAACTTTAGGTATAAACAATCCCTTTATTCTGTAGTTAAGGCATATTCTGAAATTCCAGAAAAGTGCAAAGGAATCTGCCCTTCATCTCATTTCCCATTTCAAGTTAATCCTGAATTTGTTTCACTTGTTTGTATTGGAATTGCATCCATTTTTGTTCTCTTTAGAAACAACTAGGAGACCAAGGAATATCAGGGTATTTTTGTTTTCGGTTTTTCTTTCTGAACTGTGTGGTTTTTACAGGGCCTGTTGGCAAGCCGATAGTTCTGCGTCGGACCTCTCACCTGAGTTGCTCTGGTTCACTTCTAACACCATGCTTGTACCGTTGTGTTCAAATATTCTCTGTAAGTCACCTAAGTTGCTGACTGCTTGGTGAATATCACTTTGAAGATCATCCAGTAATGCCTCATGATTTTGAATGACTTCCAACATTTCTCTTGAATCCACAGATGTTGACACTAATCACAAGATTAAAAAAACAAAGTCATGCCCCGGAGTGCAGTGACCAGGCGACAGGTATTCCTACAAGATGTCTGAGAACACCTGTGTACTTTTTGCTCTGAAACTTTTGCGCTGACATTTTAGGGGGGTTGTCGATTTATAGCACCTAAAGTCGCGGTTTCTTTGCAAAGACTTTTTTCACCAGTGATGCAAACCTAGTATATTCAGATATTAACAGGAGAACTTCAGCCGTGCTAACCATGATGGCCGTAAAATACTCTTCATTTAAAATCTCCCCGTGCCATAAAAATATTCTGGAATAATAACTCCTTTCAAGCCAATTGACTGAAAGGATAGGAAAGTTTAACAACCCAGGATGAAAGAGCAATTGAGGTGTTTCGCTAAGGAATCTGCAGCGGGGGGTGAGTGTCGTAGCTGACTCTCACTGAGGGGCCCTTTAACTGATGTTCTTCTAAATAAATGCCTGCTACTTTGAGCTGCAGATTTCAAAGTGTATACGGAGAGCTGCAGAAACTGGTGTATCCCAGCTGTGCCATCCTTGGGGGGCCTCTCACCCTCCAGGGTTACCTTTGACATTTCAATCTAATATTTTAGAAACTCAAGTCCTGTAAAGCAACTGCATGTTCTTTCAGTGCTGAGAGCATAATGTAAAGACAACTGGCTTTCAGGGCTGCCATACTGCCCTGAAGCCAATTACTAGAGGATAATTTACTAGCACTGCAAGCCACACCATTTCCCCAGGGGGGTAAGGAAAGGTCCTTCTTGGATACTTAGATTGGTAGGATAGAGTGCCTGAGATATGAACCCACAGTACCTCATCATAATAAACTCAAAGCTGCTGGGTAGTGGCCTTTGAATAGATTGGTTTTCTGGTGAGACTTTTGAGCATGGTGTGCTTTCCTGTGAATCCGCTTAGCAGAGCAAGGGGTTAAACATCCGTGGTTGGAAGGTTCAACGCTCTGAACCAGCTGGCATTCTCACTAGGTACTGCTGAGGACCAGCCAGCACACAACTGCTGAAACTTTGGGATGCTTTGTCTAGAGCATTCATAGAGTGTTATACCAAAAGCCCTCATGTGTGCCAATAGACATAGTTATTCTGATCTGTGACTGAGAGGTAGAAGAATGGCAAGCAATACAATTTCAAGCACATACTGTGATTTGAGGACTCCTCTTCTTCCCGTCCTTCACTTTGATTTCCTGGCACCAGAATAAAATTGGGATCTGCAATTGAGATGTAATACATCTGTGAAAATGTTTTTGATGCAGAAACTACTACAGTTTAGCAAGGCACCGCAGGGCGATTTCACACGTGGTGTAACTGGTGTGCAGATAGGCTTCTGCACTGCGGGCTT